GGGGGGGGGGGGGGGGGGGGGGGAGAAGAATATTCCCTGGCAGGAAGTGTCGGAGGATGCAAGTGGTGGAAAACAGAAGGAAACAGACCTACCATTTCCCTGCAGGTGCGTCACTGCGCTGACAGCCCCTCCCCCCCTACAGTACAGACTCTGATAGCCCCTCCCCCCTAAAAGCCAGACTCGTCCCTCCCCCCTACAGTACAGAATCTGATAGCCCCTCCCCCCTACAAGCCAGACTCATCCCTCCCCCCTTCAGTACAGACTCTGATAGCCCCTCCCCTTACAGTACAGACTCTGATAGCCCCTCCCCCTACAGTACAGACTCTGAGAGCCCCTCCCCCCTACAGTACAGACTCTAAGAGCCCTGACCAATACACTCAGCATCCTGCTTTATGCCCACTCTCAGAATGCCCACATCGCAAAGCCCCTGCATTGAAGCCGTGAGTAAATACTTCCTGTTATCTGTGAAGGAGGACTATCCACAATAGCTGACAGGGAAGGGAAAGTCTTTGTCCAGCCGAAGTGCCATTACAGCACTTTTATAACAACCCACACAACTTTTATAGGAAGACTTAGCAGTGCCACCTGAAAGGCCAAGTCGCTCCCGGAGGTGTGAGTTATGAGTTTATGCCATGACAGTGACAGGTACATGGTACAAATGGCCTTAAATATGCGTGAAAGACAGAAAAGCAGCTCTGTTTAAGCAGAGGCCAGCAGACCATTAAAAACCTCTTTAGGATCCTTCAAACATCAGTTTGTGAAAAAACAACAGCTCCCGCCAGTTTCTCAGGACTAATACTCTGAAAACTCTGAAGAGACAAAACACCCGATCAATCAGCTGGTATAATGAGCCGGAAACACGGACGCCCGTTTAAGGGAGCCCTTGGCCAGCAGGCAAAGGTCTTCACTGAAAGCAATAATAAGCCGGATGTAAGCGCAGCCAGTTACAGCTACTTACAGAGGAAACCAAAGGCACTTAATGGATTGGAGGGAGACAGTCCCAGTCCTAGACAAGCATTCTGTGAAGCTTTAAAACTGATCTTTTTTTTGCAGAAAAAGCTCCTCTGATACACCTTTTTGGTCCTTTGTAATGGGGGGGGGGGGGGGAGCATTAATAGGAACCTGAAATGTGTTAGTAGCTATAAATGAAGGCTGGCATCTCATTTTAAGGTTAATTTCACATGGACTGTAATTATGGAAAATAAATGCTGCAAAATAGTCATTCAATTTAATTAATCTGGTCAGTATGGGGGCCACAGCTGCTTATTGTTTAGTGCCATAGCCACACAGCCCCTCCCCCCCGGCATGGAGGTTGCCTGCTTTCCATATGTTCATGCGGCTGTCGTCTGGGTGTTCCAGTTTCCTGCCACAGTCCAGAAGTTTCCTCAGTGCGGTGACTTGTCATTTCCCAAGAGTGTGCATGACTGTGTGCGACCTGTGATAGATTAGCTTCTCGTCCAGGTCTTCCCCATACCTCCTGAGATGAGCACCAGCCTCGTCACAGTCCCACACTGAATAAGCGGTTAGGGAACATGGGCGGCTGTTTGGTCTGTAGGATAACCCAATGTTTTTTTTTTGGTGATCAGTGGTCATTGTTGACACACCACAGCACACAGTGCACAACAACTAAATATGTCCTCTGCATTTAACCCATATGTGTCATCGTGACATAGCAGGGGGCAGCTAATTCAGCGCCCGGGGAGCAGTGCTTGGGGGCGGTACCTTGCTCAGGGTACCTCAGTGGTGCCTTGCTGGTCGGGGATTTGAACCTGCAATCTTTCAATTACAAGTGCGCTTCCCTAACCATTAAGACCAATGGCTGTATACAGGTGCAGGACTACTGGTGCCCGCTGAAAGCTGATTGGCTCCCAGAGTCCCCACTCTCCTGTCACTCACCAATTCAAAACATATCATTGGCTAATGAGGACGTGCTCTCCCTTTGAGTCTGGTTACTCCTAAGGTTTCTAACTCCTAGGGAGTTTTTCCTTGCCACTAAATGAATTAATGATAAGGCCACCCCCTCTATATGAGTTATGGCCCCTCTTATGTCCCACCCTACCATTAAAAAATCCTGGAATCACCCCAGAAGGGCTGTTTACTGGCAAAGGGAGTCAATGACCAAGTAGGTGGGGTTCGAGAAAACGAAAAGCACAGGAAATACTGTCATAGAGGAAAATAGATGAACAAACAGCAAGTATGCTATTGCATAATGAAGGGGAACTCCATCTGAATTCTATAACTGAACTTGTTGTTCTTGCAGGCCACAGTGCAAGTGCCATGTGTTGTTAAATCATACAAGCCATAGCAATAGTGTGGTTCCATTAAATTCCCAGTAAACATTTCCCAGTACACTCACATAGAAAAGCCATCTAACACAGATTGTTATTATGTTGTTATTAATTGTTATCAGAACAATTGAGAGACTACGAACATTTTTCATCTCTTGCAAACTATAGCTGGTGGTTCTGGGAAGCAAAACATCCCTCATAATTGATCACTAGTAGCAGAACTTAAAAGTCTTCAGTTTTAAACATTAAAATCACAAAAGCTTGGTAGATTAATAAATCACAAAAACATCTATTATTCATCTGAATTGTATTTATCAGATGCCTTTATCCCAAGCAATGTACAATTGAGAGGACTGTGGACGGGCACTTTCTGGAGTAAGTGGTGTGAAGGGCCTTGCTCAAGGACCCATGTTGTTTTTTTTTAGAACTCCTTGGAATCGATCACATTAAAACACGGCGCTAACCACAGGAATTCAACTGGCGACCTTCCAATCACAGACATAGAATCCCAACCCACTGAGCCACAATCCACCCCCACAAAAAAAGTAAGGAACGCTTCATGAATTTGCATGTCATCCTTTCAGGAAGGTCACACTAATCTTCTCTGTATTGATCCAGGTTTTAATATATGAGCCGTGAGTATTTTCCATACTGCTCATTCAGTACAGTTGTAAAGATGATTCTTAATTATGCATTTTGTTATATATGCAGTGTGTTTATGACAAGCCAGTATAAATATACGTACAGGCTGATGTAAATATATGCATACTAAATGAATACTAAATTAGTGGAATTCTTCAACTACACCATTTCAACTAGAACTGCTTAGAAATGAGATTTCAGATGCATATGAAGAATGAACTTCAAGCACGTCATGTTCGCGTCCACCTCCCACACCTCGCTCGCTCGTTACCTTTAAAACAAATTGCATTCATTTGCATTGCATTTACATTTATTTAGAAGACGCTCCGTGTTCTCATCCCATTCGGTCAAAGTTGGTGAAAGTCAAAAGCCAGAATTGACAATGCAAAATGGGTCTGCAATGTAAAGCAAAGGAATAGTTTAAACAAAGGTTTTGGTGCAGAGTGTTACCAGTAGACTGTATTTGGATGCATGATAGTAAACTCTGTGTGTGAGCTGTACTGCCACAAAAGGAGAACATTATTTTTAGTTTACGATGGAGAAGTCAGGACGGTGGAGGACAAGAGAAGCACAAGCTACCTTAAACAACAGCATGAGCTAAGGAGTGGGAATGTTAGTAAAGAACTATGAGATTTTAAAGACCATCATCATCCTCCTGCAGATACACCCCAGGCATGAGGCTCAGGCGGTTAGGATGCTGTAATCAGAAGGTTGCGGGTTCAAATCCCAGGGTTGGCACAGATATTTCATCATTAGGCCCATAAGTATGGCCCTTAACCCTAAAGTGCTCCAGAAACAGTATTACAAAAAATATGTTGCTCTGGATAAATACAGGTAACTAAATTATGCCAAACCATGCTCATCAGAGTTCTGTCACCTGTGATGCTGCATTGGGCAAGCTGTCAAGGAAATGCCACATACAAGTAAAAATGACCCAAAAGGCACACAATGATGTGACATGTCAATGCGAAAGACTCATACTGTGGTTAGGCTTCCATTTGGCCAGTGACACTGGAAAGTATTGCTGGGAGTCTTCAGATGATAACTTCTGACCACTTACCCGGTACAGGTTCTCAGTGAGCCTGCAGCTTATCCCAGACAGCAGAGGGCGCGGGACGCCCCACCACGGCAAGGCAGAAAAACACACCAAGGGAAATTCAAAGACACTGATTTACTTAAGAGCATGTTTTTTTTTAGGCTGCAGGCCACAATACGGACAAACAGAGGGAGGATATGCAAAGCCCATATGGGCAAACCAGGGCTGGGATTCCACTCACCAAACCTACAACTGTGAGGCCATGGATAGGATCAGTTTAAGATTCCCAGTTTGTGTGAATTATGAGGTCATTTATTCTCTCCTAATAGTTTTCACAGTCTCACATCCATTCATGCACACCCTTTGCAAAGGGCACGACAGGTAAAATACACCTTCAGACCAAGCCTTCCCTGCTCCTGTACACCACAGTGTAAGTACACTCACAGGAATCGATCACAGCTCAAAGGAATCTTCAGAAACCTCAGATGATCTGCTTAAACACTTACATAACTTACACCTTATTTTTCCAGATTTTACTATGAAATCTGTCAATGACTACCTGAACAATACTACAGCGCAGTAGTTCTCCATCTTTGGGTCCGGAACACCCTCCCCCGAAAAACATTAGAAACATTTTAAAATATCCCTGCACAGTGGAGACAAACACTCCACAAAGCAGTTAAATCTTTGCGAGAGAGATGACAAGGCGCAGGGGTGTTCTAAGTGAAATGTCACGCATCAGTTGCGTCCCCCGTCATTCACTCCGCCATCACTCCAGAAAACGGAGTTGCTTCAGTTCAGCTTTTCAGAAATATAATAATAAAAAAAAAACGATACGTGGGTGAACGGCAATTAGCAGACGAGGCACGCACCGGTCTAAGCACCCTCTTCAGCTCCTGTGCGTCTGCACAACATCGCTTATCTCCAGTTTCCACCCACATCCCGGAGACAGGACGACCACAGTGACCTTAAATCGCCTTAAAGGGTCGAGCCAGCTGTCCATCCACAACCCGCCCATTAGTTCCAAGTGCAAGAAGAATTAAAGTTACCACGACACACATGCTTCCCATTATCCGCAATAGCAGTTATAAATAAATAATGCGTACATCACGACCAGCGTATTACTAAAAACGTCATAGCTTTTGTGGTCCCTATATGGTGCTATCGAGCATGCCGGCTATCAGAGCTACTGACTACCCCATGCTTTTCTAAATCATTCATAAAGGCATAGACATTGTTTTTTTTTAATCTTGAGAGTGTATAAAGTTGCTTTAAACATACGCAACTCGCAGTTCTCGGAAGTTGCGGATGTTGCGGCATGAAAGCGATCCATGCATGGACACCCCTAGCCGCAGCATCGCTATAGCATCTATCAGCGTTGAACCTTGTTAATGCTGAGCAAAAGAAAATAATAATAATCATACATTCAATCAAACGCAAAAGCAGGCACCGAAGACTCACGTCTACACTGTGGTTAAATAAGCTAAGACGGTTACGATCACACTTGCCACCGCGTAACCACAGCTTTTGCGCTAGTTTCATTTAGGAAATGTCGTTCGTGCGGCTGAAGTATTGGCAAACATCTCAAAAATCTACTCCAGATAAATGCCTCGGTCGACTGCCATACAGCCGAAGACAACGCACATCGTTACTCGGAGCACCGGCGCTGCCTGACTTTGCCCGAATGATCACACTGGAGATTAAAGACGACAAGCCCTGAAATGCATGGAATCGCCCCCCCCTCCAACATAAAACTGTCTTTCTTTCTAAAAATACCCCCAAGCCAAAAGCTGCGCTAGCTCGCCCGAAATGGAGGAAAACATGCACGCTGCCCGATGTACCCATTTCACGGAGGTTCGCGGCAGGTTCCGCTTCTCTACGCGTTTACCAGCCAATCCGCGCATGTAACATTTTTAACGGCGACTTACTTTGATGAGCAGGAATCTACTGTTTAACTCGGCGGCTCCTAGCAGAAGCGATGGCTGAAAAGTTCCCTGTGTTTTTTTCTGGGCAACATCTGGGAGGGATCGGCGTTTGTTTCAGCCGACGTTTATACTGGACAGTGAAAAGCCATCCTTTAAAGGCGGAGTGCAAGCTCAGGACAAGCCCAGTAAACAACAAGCTCGGGGCTTTGCTGTCAAAATAAGCACTATTTCAGCGACTACCTCCCTCTCACAACCAATACACTTTTAGTATTTATTACTATTATTTTAACATTTATTTATAACATGAATGTATCAAATTTTACTCATGTTTCTGTTTCCAAAATTACATATCGCTGTTATTGTATATTTACAAGATTAACACATATTCATAATCACAGTAGATTATTCAAACTATTGCTGTGAAATTAAAACATTTTCTGGTTTTGCGTTGAATGAACAGTCTGGGAAGGTTTTGCAGAAATTGCAGCTTCATTGCAATATGTACCTCAGAAGACATCCACAAAACTTCGGGACCTGCTGCAGATTCAGACTCAGATGAAGCAAGCAAATTTTTGGTTTACATCCAGACCTGAGAGATCGACACTGCCCATATATATATAGGGAGCTTTTAAATTAATAGTTTAATTTTTGTTGCACTTTGGGTGCGTGTGGTGGAACTTGGGGCTGACATATCTATTTAGGTCTTTTATATAGCATCTGTAAAATTTAGTAAAATGAACAAAATATGCAGCATCGCACTCTTAAAATGTAGCAATGAACATCATATTTTTATTTAAAGAAGCTGAACGTCAGGGTCTACACTCATTTTATTTAAGATTTGTAAATTTGTGTCCTGACGCTCAAAACATTCCGGTCTGCAATGAACTGAAGACATGATTCAACTCTCAAGGTATCGTGGGAAGGTGGAGGACAACTATGAACAGAGCAGAGATGAGAATGAAGAGCAGGAAGCAGGAAGCTTCAGCAGAACTGGATATTATGTGGGTTGTAAATTTCTATGGTAGCTCATGACAGCCAGTACTGGCCCGTAGTCCTCCTAGACAGAGCATCTTCAGAGCAGATCTTGTTTACCATCATCTGGATGTTCTTGTCCCTCTCTGTTCATCCTCCTTTGATTCACCCAACAGAATACCGCTATCCCTTCTTTGTAAATGCAGTAAAATCATACGTTTGAGTAGTCTGCTTTTCATTCGTTTAGCTCAGTTGGTGAAGACAAAATTCTGAACTAATTTTTAGGGGATTGCGGGCATGTGAGATGTCCATTGGATGTAAAGGCTTTGTTTTCGGTTGAATCTCCTGATCATCCCCTTGTAGTAAGAAGTTATTTGTGCGGGATGAGAGTGCCCCCTGTTGGATGTAACGGTCATACACCATTTCATTCTCATTTTTACGTAAAAGGTTCTCTATTTAATTTCCACCCTTTTGAACTAGCCGTTTTCAAGTATTATTTCGAATAACTGCCCTGATTATAAAGATTAGTAAGGATACCATAGTAAATATTAAATTATTAATATTTATGTTTTTAATGTTGCACTAAGGCATGAATGAGGAATTGTGAAATACCGTAACAATACAAAAAGTCAGTTAGACGAGTCATGAAAATTGGAATTTAGGACATAATAATCTAGCCTTAGCTGATTACATTGTGACCCACATATCTCTTGTCATAGGGGGGTAACTGCAAAGCTGAAAAAAAGTTCACAATAAAATATCTTGCACTACTGAGTATCTTTGGGATTTTCCTAAACCTAATCGAAGAGCTTAACAATGCGGTTGCAGTGTTACCGGGCCAGCATTCGAGGGGGATGTGTTGCGGCACACGCATGCATAATACCAATCTAGAACTGACTCAGTAAAACTATCCAGCTGCAGAAATGAGCAAAATGTCAGATACATTGACATTAAAGCAGAGGAAGTAAATGCAAACAGATAAATTAATTCTTACAAAAGGTTATGGATATATTTTTTCAGTGGTTTATTACATGCTTACCCTTGTGTTACCTGACACACTGCTTCAAATATCATTGTACTGCAATCATGAATCAATTTACATAATTATAGAATAATATAACATGAATAATATAAAATGGAGCACAATTTAAAAATACAACAGAAAACATCAAATTAAAATTTGACCTGGCATAATGAAATAAACCATTTCACCTATATATACACAAGTATCTACAGATTTTAAAACAATGTTTGACTTTCAAATTCATTTTGGCAAAAACTGACATATATTAGTGTATATATGGATACTTAAATCTTCATACACCATCACCTCACTGTGACTATACTTTTGATCTGGGTTTTGATCTTTTGGATATTTCTTATGATACATCTAATAACCTAATCAGACCTGAAACTTCAATCTTAAGTATTTCTACTTAACTACATTTATTCTAAGTAAAAGCTCTCAAGATCAATAAGATGGAACAGGTACACAAAATGCTATATAAAGCAACAATGGCCGTATGGATACTTCTAACAAAAAAATAAGAACTTCACAGTACTTAAGGTGGTAACTGATTAAGTAACGTTAGTAACCAGGCTTCATATTCATATTTCAAACTTAAAACTATTATTTGGCATTTTGGCATTGATATGACCAAACAAACTGTTTTTTTAACTGAGGAGTCCATTTATCAGGAAGAGTAACGGACAGGAAGAGTAACGGACAGGAAGAGTAGAGTAACTGTGACAGTAAAATTATTACAAAAAAAAGCAAATTAAGATCCAACTCCTGTGATACGAGTTAAGAAATTACACTTCCATGTGACACATCCTGAGGATAAATAGTAAAATACTATTGCTCCAGGTTTGTGCTACTGTTTATGGTACGAGAAACTTGACCTGCCCTTTCTGACCTGCAGTACATGTGACAGCAGGAGAACAAGCAGATCATAACTATTTGAACTAAAATTTATTTTACAGCTGTTGGGAGAACATGTCTCAGGAACAATTAAAAAAAAAACTCTGTAAATGTTTTGCAGGGAATGGAATGCGGCTCCATTGCACAGTTATGGCTCTCCTTTGTAGTGTACTAACCCTAGCACAGTTTGAAAACAGCAGGCTGACGTTATTGCTTGCGAGTATTATTCTGAGACATTCTGGGCCGTGTTTCTCCCAGGCTGGGTGGCTACATCACAAGAGACTATATCCCTACCATCCCCAAAAAAGAAACGCAGCAGAGTAAGAGGTACAGCCAGAGTTCTCTTCCCTGCAGAATATCTTCGATGACCTTGAGATCTGCCTTGAGATCTGGAGGGCGCCAAGGAGCTTTCACTGTTCCCAGACCACATTACAGGCCAGTATTAACACTACATGTGTGTCAGAGAATTAACTAACGGAAGGCAATCAAAGGAGCTACAGTGTCCTTTAAAATATTGATATGAATATGAATATCGTCCAGCTGGCTGAATTAAAAAGACGCAACATCTCAAGAAGAAGCAGTACCACTCTTCGTACTCCGGGTCAGTAGCAGTAGTAGAGTTGGGAGCGAAGGCCTCTATAGGTGTCCTCACACTGGGTAGTGCCTTGTTCCCCCTCAAACAGCATGGAGTCCGGGAGAACGACGCCCTCTAGAGGATCGGGCTGGCAGAACTCCACCACAAATTCCACCTCGGCGTCCAGCAGAGTTTTGGACCACAAGGAGGCGTCGAAGTGGCCGGACGCGCCGCCGTACTCCTCAGGAAGCACGGAGCTTGGGATGTTCCGGTGCAAGGAGTTCAGGTCCGAACCGTGAAGTATGAACTGCATGGACATATTTATAAGGAGTTACACATCTGGGACTAGCAAGGAATCTGGGCCCAGCCAAGTACAGCCCCCGACACAGGGCCAAATGGTAGAAATTACTTTATTTACAGAAAGAGGTTACATTCTCATGGCCAACTTTATGTGCAAGAAATATTTATTTTCCACTTTCTCTCAGAAATATCCCTGAGAACAGCACCACCCCATACTCAGTGATTCTGACCTTGGGGACCCCCAAACAGTCCACATATCTGCTCCCCCCAGCTCCCAGCACACTTAGGAGTTATTCCACAATAACCCTGCACCCTAACCCACCAAGCCACATGCTGCCCTCGATGGAGATCCGCACCTTCAAGCAGCAGTATACCTGCTAATATGTAGCCGGAGATAGCCACTCACCCTTTCTGCCATCTTCTCCTTCAGGAACGGCTTAATGATGGCAAAGATTCCCTTGAAAATCCGGGGCTCATTGATTATGTTGACCGCTTTTATTCGAATCGGAAATCCATCCTGGGGCAGAAATATACGCCTATATTGCCACGTCTGCAGGCATTAATGCATCAATATTTAACATCTTTGCTAATATGTAGCAATAAGTGCATGAGGAATGTGGAGCACAGAGTAGACGAGCAGATGTGACCTGTACCCCTACCTGAAGAATGCCCACGATCTTCTTGGCAAGCAGGGGGCCAATACTGGAGGCATGAGATAGTCCCACTCCACTGTAGTCTGCCAGGATGACCACCCCATTGACCTGGGTCTCCTCAGCCTGGATCAGTTTCTCCAGCGTCAGGTAGATGGCGCGGATATTGTCGACAAAGGGGTAGTCATTTGGCTTCCATTTTCCTTAGTAAAAAAAATATACATTTATAATAAACCACACTGCTAATAGCAGCCAATCGAGCTGCTATTAGATGAACGCTACAGGCTCATTCTTATGAATTATATGCTTTTTATTCTAATTTGAGCTCTACATTCTTTAAAGTAACTTTTATTTTAGCAACCACAATAACTGACTTTATGGTTAATTATTATATATATATATATATATATATATATATATATATATATATATATATATATATATATATATATATATATATATATATATATATATAAATTGATATGTACAAAATCTCTGGAGTCTGGACCATTTCTTAATGCAGATGCTCCTCGATGTACGACGGGGGGGCATGTTCCGATGAATCCATTGTAAGTCAAAAATATCGTAAGTTGAATATGAGTATATGATATGAAAAATAAGAACTACTGACACTGAGTAAGTAAATAAACAATTACGGTAACGATTTAAATATGATATGTTGCTAAACACTGTATGAGATGTTTATGCACGCGATCACATGATTGGGTGGATGCTGTCATCACCCCCTGCGTCATTTGAAAGCATCGTCCGGCATATCACTAGCCTGGGAGCAAAATTCAAAGTTTGATGACTACTGAATGTGCGTCACTATCGCACCATTGCAAAGCCGAAATACCCCAAGTCGACCCATCGTAATGTGAGAAGCATCAGTATTTCCATATGAAACAAATTCTTGTGTTACTAATTTGGAAAATCCAACCCCAGTTCTGAGAAGGTGAATGAACTGACCGGGTCGGATGCAGAGGATGTAGCGGCCATGGGGGTCTGGGTGAGGAAGAACAGTGAGGAAGCCTCGGTCCAGCACATGCTTGATGGTGGAAGGTCGGAGGTCGTGGAAGACCTCAGGCCAAGCCCGGCGACTCATGTGATAGTTCAGGAGCAGCTGCAGCGCCCGGTCATAGTCGAACTTCCGGGCACGGAGGAAGCGAAGGAGAAAAGCGTCATCCAGCCGGGTTCTGAGGTTGGGCTGGTCCTTGAGGACCATGTCCCTCAGGGCCTGGACGTCACGAAGACGCCATTCGGGCTTCTCTTGCAGCTCTTCCCGCGCCTTAGCCACCAGGTCAGGGGTCAGTGTGCAGGTGTAGATGGGCGGCGGCGCTAAGGGAAACCCGCCTCCTTCCTGCGTTTCCTTGGGAGACCCCGTGTCGATGACGTCATTTTCTTCTGCCATTAGCTAGTTATGCAGCGCTGAAACAACAGACTCTTCGTCACAAAATGTCATTCCTTAAAAGCACACCATTGCAACATGAGCAAGTGAAACCAAACACTGACTTTATTTAGCTAATAAAAGAACAAACTATATGGTAATTGCTAGTATAGTAGTGTTTTTGCAGCATTAATAATACTAGCTGTTGCAGAAATACTCGTGGCATTAAAGCAGCAGTACTGGCAGTATTTTACATGCTGTTTACTTTGTTTAAAATATAAAAGGCAATTGCGGGCAATAGTTTTAATAAGATGGCAATACAAGAACCAACTGCACATAGTAGTATTGTAACTGACACTAACTATAGTACTAATAGCTATTTTAATGATGTTGGCAGTAAACATATCACTATCTGCAATTTTGTTCTTGATGTTAATGTACTTTGGGGGTTCATTCGCACACAGATCACGAATATAACAAATAGCAGATGCTACTCGATGAGTCAGACAAGCCCCAAAATTACACGAGGGGAATGCAGAGAAGCTAATTTACAGTTTCTCACTGTCTAGATGTGCGACGTTTTAAGGCTGATCGTTTGTGTACCGGGAAGAAAAAAAACGTCTGACCAAACAAAACTGTTAATGTAATTTAATGTAACGACATGTAGCGTTTTAATTTGCTATGCACATAGAATTCTACGTAGTTTTCAGTTTGGCCTTCAAATGTATGGCTATATATATCGCCGCCGTTGTAGCTAGTTGGCACTGACGATCTGTAAATTAATATCTAAGTAGAGAATCGGAAACATCCAAATAGCTATACGAAGTCACAACTGCTAACGCTTTGAGTCGTACTCCTCCTGTAATACCAGGCATGGTATATTTCTTCTAGTGTCTTATCATTTTTACTATTTTCAGTTTTGGGGTCTTTGTATTGGACATTGAGACCTAGACTGCCGGGATTTTTGCTGCAGTGTTTGCTTTTATTACCTTCCCTACCTGCCTTACCAGCTCGACTGGTGTTTTCGAGCCCGTCGCTATTTCCTTACTGCTTTCATTCCGGCAATCATAGTAAATCGCGACAAAATCGTGCGGTTTTTTTTTTTTTAAATATCCAAAACACAACCAAGAGACAAACTGGAAATATCTTTAAGGGAACAATAAAACAGCAATAAACTAACCTGCCCCAGCGCCCTGCAGTTCCGGGTAGGCGTGCGCGAAAGCGACCTTTCTATGGTTACACAGTAGCATGTGATAACACGTCATCTGCATTTATTTAATTATTTTTTATTTGTTTATTTATTTATTTCGGTGTCACACGAGAGCTAAATGCAGACTTTATTTGCATTTCTCCTAGCGATTATGCATACGGAATTGAAAACAGGCCGACACGTACATCGCAGTAATTCCAAATCATATTACACTTTCTATTACGTGACCCACGCAGCACATAAATCATCCACACAAGCAATAATTGCAGATAACTTTTTAACAAGAGCGTTAGCAGAGACTAAGGTATCTGAGAGCAATCTTAAGCAAAGGCTTTATGGCTTTGCGTTGCCTGTGTTACCCTTGGACTACAATAGTGTGACCGCGAACTTCCACGTGTCCTGAGAAATGTTTATGACGTCCCTTCAAATGCATTAATGGGAAAATAAAACCATGATTTTGATTTGCCATTTTTTAAAATATTTTTTATCAATGACGTTATGATGTGCATAGCAACCGCATTAATTATTTTAGTGTTGTTCCAAGAGAATTGCCTGTTACCCTTTTTCTTAATATTTGTTAAGTAATTCTGGTAAAAAAGTGCAAATAATATTTATCAGTTTGTGTCCAAATTTAATGAAATGATGTTTGAAGCCGACAGTTAACACATCAGTATTGTTCACGGTATAGAGTATGGATTTTGCTGCTCGAAGATAATTAAATGAGTTGTACCTATAAATCAATTAGTTACTTTGTAACTGCAATGAAAGCAACATCTGCTAGTGATTATCAAATCTAGGTAAAAGGACACAGTAGGAGACTTTCGAAGCTTTCATCTTGTTCTCTGATATGCACTCCGCTGATGCATTGCTCAGCGTTGTGTTTGCCTTTACATTTTTAATGATATCCTCAAGTTGCCTTAGATTTTTTTCCTGAAAATTTGTCTACTGCCAGCTTTACTTTGGTTAGGTTAAACCATTTACAAATTTTCTGAACTTTGTTGGATGTCAGTATTTGCTCTGCAAACAATGGTTGAACATTTTGAACTTCTAAAGCAGATAACGGAACAGATCTTCTAAAATAATATTAGCATTGAGTGTTCTTTCATGTACCATCGCGTCACATGATGTCACAGTGGATGAATTTGTATTCATTTTAAGAACTGCCACAACTGTAATTGTACATTTTCTCAGAAAATACTCTTTATATTTTGAAATCCATTATCACCTTTCAAAGGAAACAGAATTCAAAGTATTAATGATCTTCACTTGTACTTTGGTTTAGACAAAGCTATCTGTTAAATAAATGAATGCTAATGAATGATCTTAACAGAATCTTTCTGGCATGAAATCTAAGGGAAATCGTTTGATCGTCTGTTAAGTCTTCATTCTTTGGTTTTGGAATATTATATGTATTATATACCGATCTGTAGATCAGTGAGTTGCGTTCCATATCTGTTGGCATGATTTGTTGATCCTTGATGATTCATCCCCAGTTGTTTGTAATATTTTCTTTGGGATGTTATCTACCCTAGTGGCCTTCACTTTCGGCAGAGATCTCAGCGATTTCTCCACTACCGAAAGGTTCTTCCATGTATCTGACTTCATTAAATATATCTTGTTTATTTATGCTGTACTGATCTTCTGTGTATTCCTTCCATAGGCTTGATCTTCATTCCATCCATTATTATTTGCTTGTTTATGCCCTATAGCAAACTCACTTTAGACTGTCACTTCTTTCTACTCTCACAGGTCTTCTGAAAATCAGTTCTGGTTTTTCCATGTTTATTTCTATCATTATGAACTTTCCAGATATATTTTTTGTAATATCGACTGTGTCTTCTGCGTCATCCAATCTACTTTCTATGGCTCCAATAATTTCTTTGAATTCCATCCACACTTTAATATCAAATTGGTAACGCATCTTAAAACCAGTTTCCGATGTTTTCCTTGAAGGTGGTGGATATATTTTCCAGGTCATTTCTTGTCACTTTTCAGCTTGCAGTGGTCAGTTTATTAAGCACACCTGCTGGTTAATGGAAATATCCTTCTCCTCCAAACAGCGAATCATGTGACTACAACTAAATGTATACAGCCCAAAGAGGGTATCAAGAGATTCAGATACCCTTTGGCAAAGCATTAAATTGAATGTTGTGTAATCTAGGTCAGGGTTTCTCAACCCGGTCCTCGGGGACCACCAGACGGTCCATGTTTTTGCTCTCTCCCAATTCCCTGCCAATTGGGAGAGAGCAAAAACGTGGACCGTCTGGTGGTCCCCGAGGACTGGGTTGAGAAACCTTGATCTAGGTGACTTTGCATATGCTGTGATTGTTGGTGCATGATGTGCTGGTTCCAGCATCTTAGAAATAACAATCTTCCCAGGAGTGGCTGTTCCTTTAGTGAAAACATCTTCATGAGAGAGATCAGAGTAGAATGGCAAGATTTTTTTAAAGCTTAACTAGAAGCACACATCTGCTAAAACAGTACAGGAGTAGTGTACAGAAAGGCTTATCTTTAAGCACAACTCATCAACAGTTGAAGGGTTCTGGAGGCAAAAGTGGGTCCTACCCAGTACTGGCTAGGTGTCCCGAATAAAGCTGTGACTGAGTGTAAATGTTTCATCATCTGTCCTGCAATCTGCCCCAAGCCACATCTTTGATATCTGAGTCTTTCTGCCATCTGGTACTGACAATATAGTTTGTTCGATTTTTGTGATTTCCGTCAGTTGACATCTAGGTGTAACGATGCTTTAGTTGCTTGAACATTATATTACCAATGACGATGTCTTTGGGTTTGCAGGAGCTGATTATTCACTATCCATCTGCCCTGCTGTTTTTATCCATTTACTTGCCAGCTGGATTCCCCACACTGTAATTTTCCACTTTGGCATCCCAGTCTCTAATCACCAGGAACATATTTTGTTTACTTGTCTACTCTCTTTCAGATTGAACTTGGGTATAAACATTTCAGTTTCTTCTGTATCCCTATCATTTGTTGGGACAGAAACCTGTATAAAAGGTTTAATTCATAGGTGTTGATGAAGCTGATGTGATATCGGTCAGGTCACATCATTGTGTCCAGTTACTCTTTCTGATTCCCTTCCTGACTATGAATGCTGCCCCGTTTCTTCTGTATTGTGGATTTCCTAAGTAGTACAGTAAGTGGTGTGTTCTTTGAAGTTAAAGTGTCCTAATTTGGTCCACTTAAGTTCAACACCCAAGATATCAACCCATAAGCAGTCCATTTCTATAGTTACTATGTGTCATACTTTCCATTTTCCAATAACATATTCCCAGCTTCACATATGCTTTTCCAGTGGAGCAACATCAAAACATATAAAAGTTTTGTTCTACCAACAGCGCTCCAAAGAATCCTTGGCTTTGTTCCTCAGTACCATTTTATGTGTCCTCTGGCACCGAGGGTCGTATCTAGCACATGTACATAGATTTTGTCATTTATTCCGGTATAAGCTTCCAACAGATCTTACCTTGGATGGGTACGAATATAGTCTACCACTGCCTTCTTCCATGCAGTTTGAAATACTGACACTGCCATTCTCACTACTGTACTTCAGTGCTGTGAATGCAGTGTTATTTTATTGCTGGGCAACACAGGTGGTTCAGTCTGTGTGGCATCTCTGCTAAGATCTGTTTTCCATGGATAAACCTTTTAGAAGATAATAATGGAGGGCAACTCTCAGCTTCCCTGATCCCCACAAACCAACTCAACCTGACAAGGCGCTTTGCCAGGAGGAGCTCATGGCTGTCAGGATGACTAAAGTCACTTGTCTGGGTCTAACTCAGAGTGGATTCAGTTCAATTTATTTGAATTTATTTGTTTCAAAGCACTTTACATTATCGCTGTCCAAAGCCCCCAGTGAGTAAGTCAGAGCCTAGAGTGGTAAGGAAGAATTCCCTAGAAGGAAGAAACCTTGGGAGGATCCAGGCTGAAAGGGGGAGCCCATCCTCCAGGGGCCGGCAAAGGAAGTCCAAAATAGCAAAGTTACAGTTTATGAAGTAAAACTGTGTGCAGACGTCAGGAGAGGTAGGTGAGGGCAAGCATGATGACCCATTTGTCAGACTATGGTGACCCAGTGCTTAATTCCCCTTCTTAAGAGAAATGTCATCTGAACAGAAAAGTCAGACTAGGGTAATGACTTTTTAGACAAACCTTGTGAAGAAAAACCAAATATTTTGGCTTTGCATACATTAATTAATGTTCTACCAAAATGCACTGAAGGCCAGCTACCCAATGTTGGTTAAGTTCCATAAAACAGAGGCTGTCTCTAGCTACATCCAGTTTAGACAATGCTGTATCAAGTTGTAAAGTACTGGAGTATGATGGGGTGGCGCAATGATTCATGGTGGGGGGGGGGGACAGCTCATGTAATCTGCACCAAGTTATACTTTAACTGAATTTGTTGCATGCACATTTTAATAACCCTGAATTGCTTTAATATGGTTTTGTACTATGATGGAATTAAGCAGAATAATTAGCTTCTGCTTCATGAATGTAGCTTGAATGTCTGGTGTGTCATTCGTTTGCCCTCTTTGTAACCAAATTAGATTCATAATGCTATTATGGAAACTCCTGGGGGCAGAAGGTGCATCCCTGCGTCATGGCGGCCGGCTTCGGTGACCTCATTAATATGACGTCCCTCACGTAGATGGAAGACACGCAAAATCTTTGTCACATTATGTCATCAGTTAGTTATACAAAAAAAAAATCACTTTATTGGCTCAACAAGAAATAGCACAGTTTCATGTAAAAATAAAATCCTGACATTGAATTCCAATTCACATAACATGATCTGCTCTTCCTGACCGTAGGCAGTGGTTCGAATACGCCGTTATTTCAACTCCGCAAATTATCATATTGTACAGGTTGTGACAATTTGTGTCCAAAGACAGGGAACATTTTTCTTTTAAATTATCTAATGTCAACATTTCGGAAAAGTAAGAACTGAACAAAAGCATCACTTTGTTAATTTTACGTCGATAGATTTCGCTTGCCGGAGAAGAGGTGTGTGATATGAGGCATCATCCATGTTATATTCGCTTATCCTGGTGGGGGTCACAGGCTAAGGGTTTTTATAACATATAGTTTATGTGTGTTCATTTTCATTAATGCTATTATATTGTAGCAAAGAGTTTAACACCAAGCACATATTACGTAAAATATTATTTAAAACAAGAGAAGAAAATGTACAGGGCAGAATCAGATTTAGATGGCTCAGAAAAAAATAAAATTGTATCTTTAGGCAATGTAATATAAATACTCTTTAGGGGGGAGATAAAACATGTTTAATTATTTTAATCTTACTGCAGCAACCAAATACACAATTTAGAGTTCTGGATTTCTTTATAATCTATATATTTTCTAGCGGCTATGAGAACTATACAGGTCAGTAAGTTTGACTTTCTTTAGCCTAGAATGAGAAATACTGTACAACAACACTAACATAACCAGAAAAACTAATGAGCCAGATGCACACGAAACTGTAACAATCCCAGATTATCAAATGGACTCGACAACTTCAACCACAAATAAACTAAATAAACTAAAACCACAAAATGACTCAAAGGCACATAGAAATCAGTCACAGTGCTCATGAATGAGGTTGAATGTATACATTTTTGTATAAACTTTTAAATGTTTTATTCTTCTGTAGAATGCATTATATTGTACAGTCCTGAGTTATGTACAGCAAAGAAAACATAATAAACACTGGAATTTAAGGGTCATTTCCGTTGCTGGCAGTGGAACAAAACAAAACAAAATTAAACGAAACAAAACAAAACAAGCAACACCAGCAATCATCTTACCTGATTTCTCTGGTTTTACACTTGAAAGCAAAAGAAAAAAAAGATTTTGGATACTCACATAACCTGATACATGTCTAAAAAGACCACTTCTGTAACTGTAAAAGAAGTCTGTTGAGCTCTTATGCCCTGATAAAACATAGTTCTCATATAATTGTCAAGTTTTTTGTTATTTAAAAAAATAGTGTGATGCTGGCTTTGCCTGCTGCTAACATTTTAATAATGCTATTTTTTTGTCTATGTTATGATAAAGAATAATACTTATTTTTAAATGCACATGTCAAAAGTCAGAAATCAGAACCTAAACATGTACAATCAATGTAGACCACGCATTCTTTATTAATATTTTGTTTACGCTCCTTCTGCTGTTCCCATAGAGAGCGGAATGAGGGAAGCCTTAAAGAATGTGTGGCTGTAAGGGGTGGGGAGGTGGGCTTCAAAGGGACCTCAGATACCCTCCTGCTTGGTGATGGTGGGCTGGGGGATGGAGCTGGTCTGCTTGGGCACCGTGGCGATGACGCCCTGGGTCATCTTATAGTGCTCTGAACTGGACGCTGCAGGGGGTGATGGGATTGGTGTCTCAGGAGTGGCTGCGGGGCGGCAACAACACAGATCAGGGCGCACGCAGCTGACCATTCAAGAAAGTCATATTTACTTTTACTGATAAACTGAAATTAAATAAACCAAAATAAATAACCTGGAAAATAAACTAAAAATACACATATAACATTTCTAGTGCTGTTTAGGAACAAAACGGAGGGGTTTTTTTTCCATTAAAATAAGCCTGATTACACTGTAATCAAACTCTAGCATACGGTATTTTTGACAGAGGTCACTTGACCCCGCTTTGTGAGGCAGGTCTGCTGCCAGCGTGCCAGGAATACTCACAGATCTGGCCATTGTGAAGGGGTGTGGCCATGCTGCCAGCTACAATGACATTGCTATTGAGGTGCTCCTGGACCAGGTGAGGGTGAAGAGTGTGCGGCGCATGGGGTGCCTCATTGGCTGAGCCTGGGCAGAGAGAATGCATCTCATTAAGGCTGAGAGAACAATGATGCTGTCATGCAGATCAAGTTCATCCATCCTTTCAAAAATATGTATACTGCTGATGATCCATAAACTGTACCATTGGTATATACAAACCAGCTTCTATTTTCACCCATATTCTCAGATGGAGAATGAACAGCTCCTCTTTTTACACTCATACACCAGCATTAATTCCAAAGAACAACCTATACAAAATACCATTCATTTCTCCAGGATCTCTCCTAGTTGAGTATGACAAGGTTCCTAATCTACCACATTCAATGGAAATCATATTTATATTTTTGCTTTGCTAAACATATGAATAGAACTATGTGTCTTCAAGCCATTTTACCTCCCAGCAGCATCTCCTGCAACAGATTGTCTATTTTGGCCATGCCGAAGAGCTTGACGAATTGAATCTGCTCGATCATCTGCCAGGTGATGCTCTGTAGCGTGGGCAACAGCAGGAGCAGCTCGCCGAAGCGGCCACGCGAGTCGTACTGCCGGTCGTTGATGTAGTCCTCCAGACTAACCTGTACTTGGTAACGCATGCGCTTGATCTTCCCAGGGTCACTAAGTCCCTTGGCATCTTGGAGAAGGAGGATGATGGTTAGCAGCTGGCAGTGTCAAAAGCAGCACATCCAGTCACAACAGACTGTTTGGAATATCCTGTCCTCATTGCTCTCTCCAGCTTCCTGGCCTCTCTAGAGTACCGTCTGTACCGTCTCTGATAATTGGAAGACATAACATCAAGACCAATATATTTAAACCGCAGCTCTAAGACAGCAGTAGTCTGACCATCCAGCGAGGGACAGTTTCTAATCAATGGGAATGTTTGTGAATTTCTCAAGGTTCCATTTACACTTGCTTAGCTGTGGAGTCAATGCCTTAAATCTAGCTCCGCCGAGGTCATCATAAAATAAAGAATGTGATTAACACTTGGCCCTGCCACACTTCGCATCAACTGACATGGAATACTTCCTTGTAAAAGACATTATCTTACTGTACTGCCCTATTTTATGATGGTGGAAAATTAGGTCAGGTGGCTCTAGAGTCAATTCCCAGGTAGGTCATCATTGTTCTACCAAACACCAGTAACTGAATTAAGTATCTCAGATGTATTTATGAGTAAGACTGACCTTAAAAGAATAAGTGATTCCACAATGTAGCATATTAGCACAAGAGTGAAAATTGCCAAAATAAAACAAAAGGGATGGGCTGTGTTAAAAACGACTAGTATTAATTCCATTGCAAGGTGTGTCATTTTGTATTCATACCTGGGTCAAAGAAAACAATAGCTTTCAAGCAGGCGTATTCGTTATCGTCTATCTGGAGATCCTGGAAGGGCAACACGAGCTCGTCGAGGATCCGCACTGCCACTCGGCTGACCTCCAGTTCAGGGCAGTTACGTGGAATTATGTGGTCATTTCCTGCAAGAGAAAAAAAAAACACATGTAGTGACTATATTTGGCAGAGACGAGAAACTATTCAATAATCACACAGGAGAAGAACAGATGACAAATAATTAACTACAAATGTGAAATATAGCAAATTTGTTAATAGTTAAAATGTGCACTGGCAGTGAAATGGATGTGAATAAAAATGTTGTTTATCCTCTATATGGATTATATTTCTGGAATAGAGAACATTTTCACTTGAAATAAACCTCAAAACTTAAAAATAACCTCTTTATTGCTTCACAAAACAACTTGCAATTTTACACCATTTTTGTTAAAATTTAAACTTTTAAGTATATGAATAGCCCTGTCTCAACAATGTGCACAATTACTCATACACCTATATCAGCAAGAACTTTTCCACAACCATTCGACAGTGAGTCTCCGGCACACCTTTCAAGGTATTTAAAAAATCACCCAATTTTAAGGCTAAAATAAGATTTTTCTTCTCCTTCAGACCTACATGAGGCAAAACACCGCAGGCTGAGAATTTACCTAATAGCAACAGATCTTTGTAGAGCATCGACCTCTTGGCAGCCCCTAGAAGAAGATGTTCTCCCGCATGGGCTCTCAGTAAGGCCACCTGAAAATTAAACACACGTCCCCAATTCAAGTTCCAAGTAACAAGTTCTAAGCAACAGAAGAACCTTCAGTCTCCACACATATTGATTTTCAGTTTGAACCCTGCCAGCAACAGACCATGACATCTCAGAAACAGGATGCAGGCGAGACTGTAAACGTCATATGATGTAAACATGAAATATTGGTGATCTGTTAAGACACATAATTGTTAGAGCTTCCAATTTATCTTCAGTATCTGTTGCCATTGATGGGACGGAGGTTGCAGTTCCCGTAGTTCTCATGTGAATCCATGGTTCTGCTAGTTCAGTTCCTCTAATAGAGAATTAGAGCATATATCTGTAATTGTTGAACTGCAGTAAGACATGATGGACGGTGGCTGATAGAAGTGACCTTCCCCAGGGAAAAATGGACAGAACGGCATAAACGAGGAGTTTCCCACCTCCTTAAGGTCAAAGGTCTGGAGCTACACCTGGAGATCCTTATGACATGGAATGACTCGGTGTGAGAAGATCCACATGCCAGCCTTTGCAGTTACTCAAAATCCACAAATCAGTTACTAAACCCTGTTTATCATGTTGTTAATGATTCTGGAGTACACGGGAACCGATATAACTTTTAAAACCAGTTCATCATATTCTAACAGGAGACATCAAAACATATTAACCAAACTGGTTCAAACCTACAGATTCCAGACCCCATTTTCCATCATTTAGTGTCTCTCGGATGCTGAAGCCTCCAGCCGTGGAGCCAGCTATAAGGGACGACTTTATGCATTGCTCAGGGGAAGAAAAAAAACATGGACTGTCTGTGGGTCGACCAGGACCGGACTGGGAAACACTGATTTAAAGTAATGGGCATGTGACCCTGGATGGGACATTATGCCCAACAGTACTGAACACTGCGGCACATAAAGTCATTATCTAACCATCTGTAACTGTTTATGTCAGGGGTGCCCAACTCCAGTCCTGGGGGGCCGGAGCCCTGGGTTTCTCCTCATGTAACACACCTGATTCAACTCCTTGTGCTAATTACCACGTCGCTCTTGAGCCGAATCATTTATGGTGGAACAGGGAAAGAACTAAGCTACACAGGGCTCCGGCCCCCCAGGACTGGATTTGGGCACCCCTGGTTTGTGCAGTGCAGCATCACAGTAAGTTTGCCGGCCATTCCCAGGAGTGGGGGTCAAGGGGCAGGAATCACTCAAACTGGCGTGCCACTCAGACACATTCTTCTTTTTCTACTTGTTATAATAATAATAATAATAATAATAATAATAATAAAATATCAGTTACTAAACCCTTATATCATTATTATTATTATTATTATTATTATTATTATTATTACAGTTGACCCTTCTGCATTGTGGGGGTTGGGGGCGTGGGCCCCCCACGATCTGGAAAAACCACATCAAATTTTTTCGGTCCACTTGGCGTGAGCGGAGTGAAATGATAGGAGAAACATGGGGTACAGAAATCACCGTGAGATACAACGTGGGAGGCTGCCGTAAACGCAATCGGTGTCCTCCAAACCAGCATTCTACGCGTTTTTTATGTATTTATGGGTTACTAAACCTTGTGTGTTGTTTGCTGGCCTTTGCGTGTCAACTGCTGCTTTCACAAAACTCCCAAAAACTGCCACATAATTCCCATTAAGTTTCTTACGCCGACCCCGCGATGGGGAAAGTCGCAATGCAGAAGGGTCATTATATTATTATGAGCAGACTTGACCACCTTGTTTGAGGAACCTAAACTTAATTAATTCACACCACCTGGTGCCTCTCCAGTAGAACTGAAGATTGATCTTTCTGAAGTGATACCAGACACATTATATGTTTATGGATGAAGCTGCCAGAACCTTCCGGTGGCCGCACAGCGGACAGTACCTGGTCGTCCAGCGGGAGGTCACAGAATGCCGGGATGTACTTCGCCCACTCCACCAGGACCAGCAGCTGCTGCTTCATGGATTCACACACGTCTGTGATGGTGGCCATCTTCTTTGTCCTGATGTCGCCGTTCAGAATGGGCACTGTGGGAGAAATCTGAAACATCACGGGATACCTTGAATGAAGAGGAAATTGGCAAAACCAAGAGGGTTTCACCTCCAGGCAATCTGCAGCACCAGTGCAATGTGGCATCATGACAGTTATCAGTAATAATCCACTGTTTATAAAAACTTGACATGTTCCAGTCATTTCAGTTTTTCTTCATTTTTGTCTAAATATTGTCTTTTAGTGTAGTGTGCAATCACATATTGGCATAAAAATACTCCAGGTAATAAGTGCATAATATTAAGTAGTATTTTAGATATTTCATGTTGTATAAACTGGTTCCTGAGAGAAGACCCTGCCAGAAGGTAGAAGCTAAATGACAGTGACCCATTTATTTCTGTATCTCAGAAGCCACGATACACCAACATAATGTATATTTCCAATGAATAGCCATGTATGTCAACATGCATTGAGAGAGGCCATCTGTTTTAACACACCTGTCTCGATAGAACATCCGCCTGGATGAGGGCATTTATGGAAGGCAAGCTGCTGTCTTCGTAACTGGACCTCCTCGTACTGATTCTGTCTCTTTCGTTTTGTACGGCTGTAGAGAAAACAGGTCTATTCATTCGAGAGTAAGAAAATCATGTTACATCACTCCTCGCTTGCACCATTAATGCAATACATCCTGATCTTCCTGTCAGGTCCATTTCTACAGTGATATACTGCATGTCCAAACAACTTCCAACTGCTTTCCAATACACTTTACTTAATGAATTATAATGGTCGGTATAAGAATTAAGGATGCTGTGTCCTGCATTATGAAGGTATCTGTAGTGCATTATAGATATTGAGCTCTATAAAGCATTCATAATGCATCATTACCATGGGTATAATCTCTTATGCCTTTTAAAAAATATTTCTAGCCATGTTTATAATGCTTTATAAATACATTATAATGTGTTATGAATGTGTTCATAGATTCTTACAGACACGGCATTCATAGAAAGTGTTGTGAAAAATTGCATATAATATGCTAATTCAGTCAAGTACATATGAAGTCCTACATGAAGTAGTGTTGGTGTCTTACTGCAATATCCTTAAGGCAATGTTTTGTGGGGAAAACTAACCAACAAGTATCAGGTGGAAGTAAGTTTGAGAAGCTAGGTGAGTTAAACTTATTGCAGAGTTTGAAGAGTGAAACATACCGGTTTTAAAACAGATTTTGTCTTACAGCTCTGGACTTTTATCGCTGTCAAATTATGATGCTGTGGAAGTGTTTGTTCAGCAAAAGCCAGACCTACATTTTTATGCGCTCTCTAGTGAACATTAACGACCGACCACTTCTTGCATCACAGCCCAGCAGCTCCTCCAATGGGTTCGTTCCGAGCTTCAAAGCCACTTTGTCCACTGTATTCTAATTGGCCGACAAGCAAGGCTACCTCAAGTCACCCCCGGTTGGTGATTATTTAAGGAATGAACTATTATTCCTTTATTACTCCTGCCTCAGCAATATCTACCTCAAAATAGCAAAGATAGCAGAAGTGGCTCCTTTTCTGAAGCCCGTGGAAAGCATCCAACACAACACAGTTTTCTGACACAACACAGTTTTATGATACAACACAGTTTTTGGACACAATACAGTTTTTAAATAAATACCTTCTTTTTTCATTCCCGCCCGGAAGCACTTCTTCAGCCTGCAATATCGACACTGGTTCCTCTTGTCTTTGTCCACTATGCACTGTCGGTTGAACCTGGAGTTAGAAATCATACGAGTTCTAGAATGACAAGTTGACTGCGACTTGGGGGGAAAACAAACGTTGGCGGTGAGAAAACGGACAGCCAGCCGCTAAATCTGTGCACATCTGTCACTATAATGTCACAACCTGTTTGTTTTATGAGTTCCCTTTTCTGCCAGGGAACCTGTTTTTTGATTTTCCCAGTGCTATGTCGTGCATTTTGGTCTAGGATGTTGCCTGCTAAATCAGGTACAGCGTGCTTCTTTTTTTTCCAATGCAAAGCTAAGGAGAGATATTAAAATAATGGGGGGAGGTGGGGGGAGGGGGTGGCATGGGGGAATGAGCGAATGTTGCAGATTTCTGTTGGGCTAAGCAAGAAAAGGTAAGCAAAAGCTACCAACTAAATTCCCAGGGGTTTTTGCATCTGTGCGATACGAAAAGTTTTTAAAATATTCAGAAGAATTAATGTGTAGCTGTTGTGCATGCAACAGGAGTCGCTTTAGGTAAAAATAAAGGCATATTATATTTTGTTATATGGGACACTGGAGGGCTCCATGCAAAGGGTACTATTGGAAGAAGAGGCTGGGACAGGGAGCTGGACGGATCCATACCTGCAGGAGTACATGTGGTTTTTGCGGACGCTGCGCCTGAAGAAGCCCTTGCAGCCATCACAGCTGGACGCCCCGTAATGTTTCCCCGTGGCCCGGTCCCCGCAGATGGCACAGAGGGTCCCTGCCCCCAGCTGGTGGGCGGCATTCATGCCGACGCTCTCTGTGGGCGAGGAGTCTGAAACGACAGCCAGAGGGGAGACGCCGGTCAGGCATGTCCATCAGCGCCGCTCGACTTCTACAAGAAGGGAATGATGCTGGAAACTAGCTGAGGTTCAATTTCAGTGTCTGGATGAACTGAAGCAGCAAACTGTTATGGAGGCCATGGGAAGCAGCAATGGCAGAATGTATCTTATATAACAGATTTCAAGGTTTTTTTAATGGCAGCCTCTGAATATCTCAATATTTTTATACCAGCAATTTGTTGATTATTTATTTTATTACATTATAATATGTTGTTATATTTTTATTACATTATTTTGTTTATTATTACTTGCTGGAATATGATGTTTATTAATTAATAATTTATTATCCTGAATCTGTGAATAAAACTGCTATTTTTCCCACGAGGATATGCATATTATATATTTACTGGAAGAAACCAGACAGATAGGAGACAGAGGAGTTATCCAAAGAAAATAAATAATGAAGAACATTTGCGGGAGCTTTAAAACTGCTGGATGTTACTTTTGCTGAACAAGAGCAAGAACTGAACCAAATTCTTCCCTTCGTTAGCCATAGTGCCTGGCTATTACTGCTGTTACACATTTAGCATGAGGTTGGGAACCCTCGTGCTGTCACAGAGATCTGGGGATCACCCCACATTTTGGGAGATTAGGTTATTGAAAAAATGCTGGATTTTACCAAGAGCCCAAAAAGAACAACACTGACAGAATTATATTTCCCTTAAACCTAAAAGTGTGGATCCCAATGATTCGAGGGGCTTTTCCAGAAAAAAAAACTTCAAATTTCTGTTCTTCCTTTATATTGCTAAATACCAGTGTATGTCTTCCTTGTGAAAGACGTCCCTCACAGGCATCTAGGCAGTTTTAGGTGAAAGGTTACATAGACACATCTTCAAAAGAGAATATTTATTATTTTCAACACCTCAGTTCCATTATAAAGCCTACATACACATAAATATAATGTGTAAATATGTGCATGTCAATTAAAACAATGATGATTATATCATTTCTTAATCAGTGATGGAAAAAAATTATATTTGAGTTTTAATTTAGTTAGTTTAGTATTTATCATGAGTCAACAATTTTGTCTTTCATCTGAGGTTGCACCATTTCAATAAGCAGCAGTAGACTTCCAAATAGCTGATTCCATGAATAGAACATGCCAGTTATTCATCTTGCTGTTCGAGAAGCACGAGCAGAACACCTTCTCAAGGAATACTCTGCTGAAGATTTAATCATTATACAAGATGAAGTGCCGTTCCTTTAAAATGGTGACAATGGCAACTTTGATTGCATTAATACCAAAGAAATTCCTTCCAAACTGATTAAAGACAGGAGAGCTCCTCCACATTAAGCCAATAGAGAGATGGCTAAATGCCAAATGATTAAGAAGCTGATCATACAATGTAACAAATATTGATTGGGTATGTTCTATACCCAAGATAAAACATGATTTATCTGATTATTTCTTGTAAGACAATCAGCAAGGATGGGCTCCGTCAGTTACACACGCACCTAGTCGTTCACACAAATATGTTTCACTCACCCTAGTTGTGAAACAGTCAAGGAGCAAGATATTTCTAACTAAAATCGTCATGAAACTCTTTATAAAGATCCACTCCCTGAATTATCTATGTAATACTATGCAAAACATACTATGCAACAGATGTTATAACACCATGTGACATACTAAGCATTAAGCCACTTATTAGACAGAAGACTTCAGTAAATTGAATTATGACAGATCATCTGAAACATTGCATTTACTTTGAATGCTTACTTGGAAAGCTTCTATGTAATATTTGATAGATAAATCATATTTTCTTCATTTAAAATATATTTGCCATAGTGAAAATGCATTTTATATAAGTCTTTGCCAAAAATGTTTGCTTGTGAAGGAAAAGCATAATTTTTTTGAGATAAAACATTTAGAATAGCTTTACTGTATTGACTTCATTATAATGATGAAAGAGGACAGGACCCCAAAGTCTTTTACAGGTTTTGTTTTCACATTTCGCAAGTGTAGTATGGTTCCCATCAGAAGACCATCACAAGCAGTGGTTCTGTTGGCTGTGAGACGTTGTGTGAGGGCTGCTGGACCCTGGGGGTCATCGTGTCACGGTGTCATGTGCAGGATGTCCGCAAGGTCTAAAACTCAAAGTCCATAAGCCGACCCCAGAAAATGACTCACCTGTGCTCATCGCGAGCACCTGCATGTTCTCAAACTCCAGCGTGGTGTAGGCTGGGTCCAGAGCCTCGCTGTAATCGGCCATGTCCATGTCGAGCAGTGCTTTGGATAAACGCATTCTCAGCCAGCACACGCTGGGGCAAAGGACTTGTCTCTACCTGGGTCCCCGGCCCACCCTTCTGCCGAAGGCCCCGCCCCATGTGACACCTCTATCAGTTTGTGGGGACACAACAGATTGATTGACAGCACAGGGCTCCTCTCCTCAGAGAGGTAGAGTAGCTACTCGGTTAATTTTTAGCCACCGATCCAACGTGGAGCCAAAGCTGGTTTTTAGAGAGATAGCACCAGTGGGACTGATGAGATTTCTTTCTTGTTGAACCAATCTGTACTAGGACCCATAAAACTCCTCATCATTCCACATCAGCAGGTGTGATTAGTGATTATTGCAGCTACTTATTCTGGCTTCAACCGGCTGAAGTTTCTTTGAAGGATATTTACCCACATATTCCGATGAATCAGGGTAACAGGGCAGTAACTGTGTTATATTTGGCCTGCCAGAGCTCATCTGATGATTTGTTCGTGAATGACAGTCAACAAAACAGAAGAAACTAGGCTGCAATCTACGTGTAGAAAATTAACTGAAATCACAGCCAGGTATACTGCTGAGTGCTCTTTAACTTTGTTTGCTTTATCTGAGCATTCTAAACTGGAAAACACCCTAAACTGCAGGAGCGTAAGGAATGGGGAAATTTTAGGGTGTGTCATTCGCTGGGTATGTCATACGTCTTTCTGCGTTACGTCAGTCTGCCAATCACTTGACCAAAAGAACAGAACTATATCTTACTTGCGAGACTTTGCTGCAGTGCGGCACAGGAGGAAGACTCCATAACGTGAGAAAAATGTCAGAATTATGGGGATGGTTGCTGCTTAATTTTCAAGAACAATCCTGGCTGTTATCGTTCGTGCCTAAAAACTTGTTTCAGTTTCTTGTGTTTTTTTGGTAAGTCAGCTTATCGTTCTGAAGTCATTCGAACCATTGCAGAAACAGTAGTCAATCTGAATTGGCATCCCTCCATAAACCACTCCCCTCAATTCACATGCAAAGGTGAAATGCCAGGAACTGGCCCTCTATTTGAAGAAGGGAAAGTAGCTGCAAAGCAACAGGTCAATGATCTTTGGGGCACGAAAGCGGCCTGGTGAATTTCATAATTTCCTGCATGAGGTGAACATTAGATCTGTAAAAGCAACTGTGCCTCATTTCCTCAGTTCTTCTGAGGTTACCTTGCATTATGGGGTGCAGCTTTGCCTATCCATCGCTCCCAATGACTAATCAAATCAGAGAATGAAAGTGTTTTTGCTATTTATTCTGATTGGTCAACCCTACTATCATGCCAATTCTGAAGGCCCAGATAAAATGTCACCATGCCCCCTGTACCTTCAGTTGCTTACCTGATATGTTCATCCAAATCAAGTCATTTTAACTTTAGTTATTTATGCAACCAGACATTTTACTGGTGCGGTTCAGGTTGTATACCTCACTGAGACTTTGAAATTAATCAAACTACTTCTGTTGCTCTTAAACAGAATTCTGACAGACGATTTCACTGATATTGATCCTCAGTGTCCCTTTAAGTTGCAAACTGGAACTGTATAGTGTTCATGGAAGACAAGGATCTACTCTGGTCTGTAAAATTGGGCTTAGATCACTCCCCTATCATGATAGATTGTTAATTATTTCTGTGGTATTGTAAGTAAAGAACTTCCTCGCTTACATACAGACACATACTCATACATGCAGAAACACACACACATAGTTTATGAAACATATGCCAGACCAGCAAACACTGATCACAAGTGTCTAGAGTGTGCAATATAGAGAGGGAGAAAGAATTCTGGAGTCCAAATCCATACACAGTTGCCAGCATCAGTCTGAAACACCTGAAGAAGTTGTGTCATAGAATGACTCACCTCCATGAAGAATATCTTATCAGTCCTCTCATTAAGTCCCTTATCTCAGCACACATCTTCATTTTCTGTGACCTCCTCATAACTGCAATAACAGCCTTATAAAAGACAATCTACAAGGTGAAATCTTTCCTTCCTTGACACGGTGCCAAACCATGAGGGAATGTTTCAGATTTTTGCACGGTATACCAGCGCGTAAATGCAGAGAGGCTTTTCTGGCACCACATTTTTACATACTTTGTTTTAAATATGGAAATCTAGTGCCTAATTCAAATACACAAGGTCTCAGCCAGATCAATATCATTTCCTTTTTTGCCCCCCCCCCCCTACCCAAAAGAGAATATCTGGAGGATATTTTGAGTTTGTGAGCATCAGTTCATATCCCTGCAGGAGGAGACTGAGCGCTGCACCCAGACTGCTTGGCTGGCACTCGGGACTGTTCACCTGCCTCTCGGGACTGTTCACCTGGGACTCGGGACTGTTCGCCTGGCTCTCGGGACTGTTCACCTGGCACTCGGGACTGTTCACCTGGCTCTCGGGACTGTTCACCTGGGACTCGGGACTGTTCACCTGCCTCTCGGGACTGTTCACCTGCCTCTCGGGACTGTTCACATGCCTCTCGGACTGTTCACCTGGCTCTCGGGACTGTTCACCTGGAACTCGGGACTGTTCACCTGGCTCTCGGGACTGTTCACCTGGCTCTCGGGACTGTTCGCCTGCCTCTCGGGACTGTTCACCTGGAACTCGGGACTGTTCACATGCCTCTCGGGACTGTTCACCTGGAACTCGGGACTGTTCGCCTGCCTCTCAGGACTGTTCACCTGGCACTCGGGACTGTTCGCCTGGAACTCGGGACTGTTCGCCTGCCTCTCAGGACTGTTCGCCTGGAACTCGGGACTGTTCACATGTCTCTCGGGACTGTTCACCTGGCTCTCGGGACTGTTCACCTGGCACTCGGGACTGTTCACCTGACACTCGGGACTGTTCACCTGCCTCTCGGGACTGTTCACCTGGCTCTCCTGCCCAGTTAATGGGAATCAGGAGGGATACAATAACCAAACAATGTCCATCACTGCCCAACAGTTTACTTCCTAATATCAACACCCAACCCAAGTTTAATAATATTATACATATTCCACCTTTTATCGACAAAAACACCTACAAGTATTGCATCTATAGTACCATTACCACAACAAGTAATACTGTTACATTTTAATACTACTGCTTTTACTGCAACAACATTTACTTTTACATTTACATGTATTACTATTACTAGTATTTTAATATTACAGCTTCTACTGCCACCAGTATTATTGCTATCACTACTAATGCAGTGCACTACAAATTATGTTTATTAACGTCCATCTTCTGGCAATTTATCCTGGTCAGTGTTACGGGGGCTTTGGCCTTAGAAACCAATTTTTAAAAAAAACTTACAAGATAATTTACTGGATTATTGGGAATAACTAGCCAAAACAATTAAACTGTAAGCTGTTGCTTTTACTAATTTCACCAGGTGTAGAGAAACACCTCTTATTACAACTGTAATACATTTACAATAAATGTAATAGCCTCTTTATTCCTAAATATAACGAGTTGTGGTTAGCAAGTGAAACCAGAAACACAGCCCTACATTATTTAACAACACAATGTTTTAGGTATGGATGAAGTGGTGGTCCATATTTTGGACACCAGAGGTTGGGCTAAATAGCAGTGATGGGTGCTAGGAGAGGAGGGGAGAGCTGCTTGAAAGGAAGACTTCAGCTGTCCTCATCTCATCCTCCATAACAATAAATAAATGCTCTGTGTCTTACAATCAGTCATCCAGGCTGCCCGGGGCTAAAAGTCAACAGCAAATGGCTCTGAAAGACTGATGTAACGCCACTGCTATTTTCCCCTTTGAAACTTCAAACTCCAGTTTGTGAACAAAGTCCTGTCTTTCTTCGGGAATAGCAGTCTCCGGCCACTGACCAAACTCCATTTGAAAGCACTGCCTATTTGTACTTTCTCCTGAAAGATACCTTTGCATTTCAGACGTGCGATCACATTGGGAGGAGACATTGGCAGAAAAAGGAAAAAGAATTAATCGTGCGACCGAAGGGAACGTTTCTGTGGCCTAGAAGAGTGATTGCGTGTGGGATATAAGGAAAGTGCTTCGCTGAGTTTTAAAAGTCTTCCAGCACAAATGAACAGTGTGTTTTATGGTGCAGGGATGTGTCGATAAGGGAAAGAAAGACTTGGAAGTAATGTGCTTGCAGCAGCATATTTGAGTCCAGGAACAAGCCAGCAGTGGCTGACAGTGGGAGATGGTGGCGATATGTGAGTATGATGTACTAGAGAGAACCTTGTCAACTGATCACTATCTGTAAACAGAGTCTGCAGTGGCCTCTCCGCCTTTGAGAGCAACTTTTCATCTCTTTTACTATTTAAGGTCTACTTAAATGTTCCTCTACTTAAATGTTCCTCTACTTAAATGTTCCACTATGCTCATTTTAGTTAAAGACGCTGTCACGGAGTGATCTTACAGTAAATACAAACCTGGCGTTATTCAGGTTAAAAAAGTCTCCTGGGCCATAAGACAGTTTCTTGTTTTGTCAGGTCACAAATTTTGTGTGATGGATGGGTGTGATTTGAGCTCCTCCTTGATGTCTGGGTCTGTGTGACACATTTACAAATACAGGTGGTAGAAACTCCTTGAAAGGATGGTACTGCTGAGTCCAGCTCTTGCTATAAGCTCCCTATCCAAACGGTGTATTCTAAACCGCCTTGAGAATGTCTCAGTTTTATATGTACCCTCTGATCAGATGCGAGCTATCTACGGAAAAATAAAATTATATTGATTTGTTTTGAAATTCATTCTGGTTTATATTTGGATTAAATGTAGCATAAGTCGATTTTAGGCGGGGTGGGGGGGGGGTTATTGGCTCCCACAGTCAGCCACAGCTCTGTATGTGCAGTTGGTATCTTCTCCCTGTGTTACATGGCTTTCCTACTGTATTCCTGCTAACTGATGACTAAATGACGTGTGTATGTGGCCAGTGATGTTGCAGCATCCCGTCCAGGATGAACCTGGCCCAGTGCCTCGTGCTGCTGGGCTGGGCTCCAGGTAACCCTGGGAAGGATAAGTGGTTAGGAGATGGCAAAGCTGACTTTATCCTCTTTGTGGAAGACATAAATATGTAAAACACTGGAAACCACAT